CAACTGGGGCCTGAGCCTAAATATCTACTAAGACCACCCAGGACAAACTGTCCCCAAATCTGATGGTGCCTGATTAGAGCAGCCTCTCTGGAATCACATGCACGGGGCAAAGATGTCTTCTAGTCAAAGGACCACTTGAATGCTCAGCCAGCACACAGTTGCCAGAAGCTCACCCTCTCCTTCCCTAGATTCCCCTGGTCCTGGATGGCATATGGTTCAATGGTTAGTGGCTTCCCAGAAGGCGATTTAGGGCTCCCACAATTTCGAAAGGTATAGATCTTTTTCCTTATCTTGACATCTTCCTTTTTAATCCACAATTGCTCTTACCTCTTTCTGCTCCTCCAGAATTAGATTCAAATTCTAAATGTTTTGCTTGGCTGTCCTGTTATTTAGCTCCTATTGGTTTATTGTTTAGATATAGACATTCTTTTTAAAACATAGGAACAAAAAAAGTGCAAGTATGTTACCTGGTGCATCTAATAAAACTCACCCAGTTAATTCAGAATGATTTGGCACAAAGAAGGTGCCTGTCTACTTCAGGTTTTTATTCTCTCTAGGATGCTAATTGTTTTTCTTTTGATAATCTTGTATTTTTGGCCTGAAGTCTAAAATCTGGCCTGCTGGGCGATGTGTCAGATTTGTGAATTAGATGACATCTGTTTTGAATTTTATCATCTTTAATTTTCTTTCAAACTCTCTTCACTTATTCATTTCCCCTTTAATTGTAAAGATCAGACTTTGTTGGGTACTTTAGACAAAAGTATAGACCTTTCTTCTGTGGGGGACACAGATTAAAATTACTGAAGCTAAGTGGTCACAATGAAGGCTATTCAGGGAAAAGATGTTCAGAGAGAAGCCTTAGCAACCATCCCAGAGAGGATGAGCAGCTGATACAAAAGGCTGGCTGTCCACACCAGTGTTTTGAGGTTCCCACTGAATAATTACAGTCGAGTGGAAGACTGACAGTGAGTGTTGAACATTGGCGGAGTGAATATTTTGAATTGAGAAAGGCTGAAGTACTGAGGATGGAGGTGAGTGGTGATGTTTTGATCTCGTCACATTTAATTTTTCTCTTTGTGTTTTTTTTCCCCAGAAAAATAACAAAAGGAGGAGAAATAGAAATACATTCTCATACATACAGATTCATATTTTAATAGTAAAACCTTATAATTTTCCTCCTCTGTACATATCTCCTAAACTCTTCTTTTCATGGGGAAAGTGTTTATCGCTAATTGGATTGGGCCTATTTATTTATTTTAAGTTTTATTTATTTTTGAGAGAGAGAGAGAAAGAGAGAACGAACAAGTGGGGGTAGGGGCAGAGACAGAGGGAGAGAGAATTCCAAGCAGCTTCCACACTGACACAGAGCAGAGCCTGACATGGGGCTTGAACTCATGAACTGTGAGATCATGACCTGAGCCTAAATCAAAAGTTGGATGCTTAACTCACTGAGCCACCTAGGCATCTGAGATTGGGCCTATTTATTAAGGGTCAATTTTCTTGTTAGAGTGCCCAGTGTAACACTATTGTGTAACGTGTTTTTCCTTTATGTAAATATTTTTCAATATATACTCTTACGGATGCCAACTGGCCTCGTGCAGCTTTGCATTTGTAGAAGCAATAGAGAACACATAGAACACTGGCCAGAATGTGTGCCTAAGCTTTCACATCTGATACACATGTCACTCATCACTGGAAGAAGAAATAAGCAGGCTGGCTGTGCACAGAATACAAAATGGCTCCTCCAAACACCTGCTGTAGAGGCTCTCAACCAAATTTCTAAAACCACATCATGAAAATTGGCCAACGGTGACTTTGTGCTTGCATACAAATGACAAATCACCCCTTTGTGATGCAGGCCTTGGATTTCTTGGATACTGCTGTCTTTAGGCTGTTGCTAGGCAGGTCGTGAGTCTGTTAAAATGCTATTGTTTTGAATGGAATATGTATATAGTGGTAGTTCTCAACTGGAAGCGATTTTTGCCTCTCAGGGGACATTTAGCAATGTCTGGATACATTTTTGGTGCCACAACTTAGGGGGAGGACTGCTACCAGCATCTAGTGGACAGAGTCCAGGGGTGCTGACAACTATTCTATAATGCACAGGACAGCCCCATAACCAAGGATTAATTAGCTCAAATTTCAATAGAACCAAAATTAGAAACCCTGGTTTACAAGCATTTATATATTGAGCCAGGCAACAACAGATCAAAACTATGGTGTTGAGAGAAAAGGACACTTGCAATTAGTCTTCTTTGGATGAATAGCTATTGTTGACTTTGATGGCCCTATTGGCCACATAATATCTCCATGGGCTCTAGGGGGCTAAAAGAGCCTGCCATTTGGGCTCCCCTCCTGCTCCTCTTTTCATGGTTATTAACATCATCTTCCATATGTATGCAGTCACTCAAACTATGTATCTCTGGGTTTTATCTACTCTCCCCCTCTTCTCCTCATCCTACCTTCCTACTGGTAACCGATTCCTCATAATTCTGTGCTCTCCTCACTATAATGATTTGCCCTGACTTCTTAGGTCCTCCATTAATGATTTAGTCTAGGCTCTTTAGTTGAAAGAGCCTGTTGTTCGGGCTCCAACGATAGCATCCTGGTCACTCTCCTGCTGCTCCAGCCAAACCCATTCAGTGCTCCACATCTTGAGCCACTTCCTCATTTACCAAGTCCTTCAGTGAAGAAACATTTAAAAGGGCCTACCATCTGCTAATTACTCTGTTAGGAGCTGTGATCACTCCCAGGATAAAAATCATTCCAAGCCTCCATACTGCTTAAGGGATGAGCGCCTCACTTCCCGACACAGTGTGTAAAGCCTCTGATAATCTGCCTCTGACCTAACATTTCAGCTTACTCTCCCACCCTACCCTGATGTACTTGCTTCAACCACAATGAACCAATTACTTTTCCTTACTTTGGGTCACACACTCTTAAGCCCGTGTATCTTTGCACATGCTCTTTTCTGTATTTGGAGTAACCTTTCTACCCTTGTCTGAGAAACTCTCATTCATCCTGTGCGACTTAATCTAGTATCTAGAGAAATGCCCGGCCCATGAAGCTACTCAATAAATATGGTATGAACTTAAATTTGACCTTCTCTGTAAAACATTCTGTAATTTCCTGGCCGTTAGACAATATATCTCTCATGCTCCACAGTCTGTTGTATGCACTTCTACCAGAACCTCTTTGCATACCTGTCTACAGACCTCTTGAGGGCAGGGATGGTGTCTTATATCTCTTGGAACCTCCAGACTTTGTGCCAGGCTGGACACAAAGTGGACCCTCATGATTAAATGCTCACTATTTTGTCAAGATGCCTTCTTTTGTTTTGGGAATCCTTATTTCATACTAGAAATGGTATGCATCATTTGATACCCCCAAAAAGTCACAAAAGTTGACACTAGTCTCACATTAGCCCTGTCCCTTCTCTAGAACTGAATACCTTCCAGTGTATAGGATCTGAAGTGTGAAGCTAAGGTTTGAGTCCATCCTCTATCACCTACTCACTGTGTAACCTTGGGAAGACATTTAACTCACCTGTAACCCTCTGTTTCTTCTTCTGTAAAATAGGAATAATATCTGCCTTGTGGGGGTGGTCATGAGTATCAAATGAGAGTACATATTTGAAAATTTTTTTAACTTCTAAGACATCTGTGTTCAAAGTATAGCAAGATAATAAAATAAAACCTCTTCCTCAGTCTCGCATGATCTTTATTTTTTTCTCCACAAACCTCTTGAAAGGGCCAGTTTGATGCATTGTATTCACTCTCTCCTTTCAACCCCAGCCATACCACTGGCAGCTCACTCTTCAGAATCTTCAATAATTTCCTTATGGCCAATACCCAGAGACACTCTTCTGTCCTTCCCTCACTGGACTTGACTTCAGTCTGCCTCTTCTGAGACATTCTCTTCACTGGAATCAGAGTAAGCTTCCTCAAACATGGATTTTGATAATATCCTGCCACGTACAAACCTCCACAATGATTCTTCATTAGCCTACTGAGTAATATTCAAACTCCTTAGGAAGGGGTCAGACCCAACATCATCTGGTCCCTGCTTACCACTTCACTCACATTACCTTCTAACACATACCCGAGCAATACAAAATGGCTTATGTTTCTAGAAAGTGTGTGCTCTTTCACATGCTGCCCAGAAGATTGCCTGGTGCAATCTGGTCATCTTTTAGGACTTGGCTCAAAATATCATCTCTTCTGGGAAGCCTTCCCTGATCTCAGTTTCCTATTCCTCTTCATTCCATACAGAAGTAGATATCCCTATCTCTATGGTCCCCGGACTCCTTGGCTGCATCTTGATTAAGCATAACCTTCCCACTATTCTCTTAGCCACGTAAATATTTATCTCCCCTATTAGAAAGTGAGGTTTTTAGGGGTGCCTCAGTGGCTCAGTTGGTTAAGCGTCCGACTTCGGCTCAGGTCATGATCTCAGGGCTCATGAGTTCGAGCCCCTCATTGGGCTCTGTGCTGACAGCTCAGAGCCTGGAGCCTGCTTTGGATTCTGTGTCTCCCTCTCTCTCTGCCCCTCCTCTGCCCTCTCTCTGTCAAAAATAAATAAACATTAAAAAGTTTTTTTAAAAAAAGAAAGTGAGCTTTCTCTGGGTACAAGGAATATATTTTATCTCTCTATATATGTCTAGCTTCTAACAGAGTTCCTGGTACAGAGTAAGCAATTGCTAAACACTTGTTGACTACATAAGTGAGTGTTATAAATATCATTATTTGTACTACATTCTTATTCCTTTGTCATATTTTGTTCACTTTCTAGAAAATCCTTTGTTACATTCTGGTTTTCATAAATTAAAAAAAATTCTGGCAAATGCCATAATTTATTCAGAAGTTACTCTGCATTGAGATCGTTAGTGGGTTTGGTTTTCTTTGGGAAGTTGAATGCCTACAAAAGAAACTGTTACTGCCTGTGCTATGCTTCCATGGGTTTATGACATATCCCTCAGGTACAAAGGACCTCCTGCTCACCTGCTGCTTCTGGCCTTGGTAGTTTCCAGTTGTTGGGTAAGAAGCTTGGCAATGGCAGTGAAGCTGTTGCTCATGCGGAAGATATCTCTGCTCTGAGGGCCCAGGATGGAGGAGAAAGCATCAGTGATGCTCTTAATCTCCAGCAGGAGAATATGATGAAACGAATGTTCCATGTTGGCCAGCTGACTCACCAGGAATGGCAGGCAGCTCCTGGCTCTCTCCTGCCAAGAACAATGAAGACCAGTGTACGCTGTTGGGAATGCAAACTGGTGTAGCCACAATGGAAAACAGTATGGAGGTTCCTCAAGAAATGAAAAATATAACTATCATATGGCCAGCAATCCCACTTCTGGGTATTTATCCAAAGGAAACAAAATCATTATCCCAAAGAGATTTCTGTACTCCCATGTTTAGAGTAGCATTGTTCATAATAGCCAAGACATGGAAACCACCTATGTGTCCATAAGAGGATGAATGGATAAAGAAAATGTGGTATACATACACAATGGAATACTATTCATCCATAATCATGTCATAAAAAAGAAGGAAGTTCTGCCATTTGCAACAACATGGATGAACATGAAGGGCATAATGCTGAGTGAAATAAGCCAGACAGAGAAAGACAAATCCCATGTGGTATCACCTATATGTGGGAACTAAAAAAAAAAAAAAAAAAAAGTTGAACTCATAGAAACAGGGACTGGAGTGGGTGGGAGAAATAGTGAGAAGTTGTTCAAAGGGTACAAACTTACTTTCAGCTATAAGTTGAATAAGGTCCGAGGATCTAACATATAACATGGTGACTGTAATTGATAATACTATATTGTATAATTGAAATTTGCTGAAAATAGAACTTAAATGTTCTCACCCCTTTCTCCAAAAAAGGTAAATATGTGTGGTGATGGATGCGTCAGTTAACTCAATGTGGGGGAAACATCTTTATGATGAATATGTATATCAAATAATCACATTGTACCTTTTCAATATCTTACAATTGTACTAGTCAAGTATACATCAAGTGAAGCTAAAGGGGAACAGAAGAACAGTGAAAAACAAAAACCTATATTTTAAAGGAAAATTACAGTCCCATGACCAGCAGATGACAATTCTATGGGGAGTTGAGAGAGCTAGCTAGAGCTAAATAATGTCTCATTCACAATGCCTCTGAACTAGCTTGACATTTTAATTTTTTCCTTATTTTCAGGACAAACTTTTTTAAAATAAAACTTTTTTCCCCATTATTCTTTTCTTAAAAATACATGAATAATTGCATTTGCCTATCTCATCAGGTCAAAACCTCTCAACTACCAATAAAAATCTAGCCCTATCCATCTACTCTTCCCAACTTTGTGTCCTCCAGTCTCCATGTCTGTGACTCAGTAACTGCCTGCAAGGAAGAGGCTGGTCAATGGCACCCCTGATCCATCCTTCTATCAGACAATGCCAGGTATCACACCGGTGTGTAAGGTTTCCATCCTCTTCACAGGTTAGTCTCACTCATTTGTTCATTTTAAGCATCTTTCAACATGTTATGGATTCTAGGTTACTGGTCTAGTGAGCAGATTATATTATCTACATTTAATCAAGTTAATGCTCTCAAGTAACTGAACTAGGTTCCTTCAGGGAAATGGAAGATGAAGGATCATATGAATTCAGGCATGGGTGAGTAACAAGTAAATATCTTTGCCGGTAGGTCTCCTATATCTTCACATGAGCCATGAGACACCATGATTTAATCCAACATAGCTGGAAGTTAGCCAAAAAATTTCAAAATTATCAAGGGAGTTGTTTGAACTGTACATTTATACCCAATATAAATAATGATATACAATAAATAAAGATAATTTAAAACATGACTTATTTCATCTTTAATTCCTCTTTAAAAGTCCAGTTTTAAAATGTATTTAAAAACTATTCATTATGTTAATATAGCAGAATATACATGTAATTATAAATATATGCTGGAAGTTGATGTTCAATATCCTTTAGACTGATAGGTGTACAGGTCTAAATTACTTTTCTAGCTAGGCATTCCCTTTTACCCTTTGTTCTTGCACTTGAAACCTTAATTTCTTTCCAGATGTAACTTCTGTCCTATCTCCTCCATGCAGCCATTCCTAGTGACCTCTTCTGTCTAAGTTTTCACTGCATTATAGACTTTTTAAAAATCTTGTTAGTACCTGATTACATTTGATCAATTGTGTATTCATGCTTTTATTCAATCACCAGATAGGTATTGCATGCCTAAAATATGCTTGTGCTAGATTCTAGATGACAAAGGTGAATAAGAGGTAGACTCTGCCTTTGAGAGACTTGCAATCCCTCCTTCCAATTATAATTCACTAATGGTTACATACCCGAGTCAGGTCTCCAAAAGGGGCTATTTCTCAACATCAATCATCAGCCTGGCACAGAACTGAGCCTGTAGAGTCTACACCCAGAGTATAAGTCTTGATTCACTAATTTAAGCAAACCTTGTATGCCAAAATATGACTTTACAAATAAAATATGTAGTTGCAAAGGAATTTTGTGCTTTACAAGAAATATTTATTATAGAACAGATTTAAGTAGTGAAGTTCCCTAGTCCTTACTACTTAACTTGATTTTCAAAGACTGCATGTACAACTGCAGTGGAACACATCTCTTGGGGATGTGGAGTACATCTGCCAATCAATCCCTTAATAATCATTTGTTAACAACCTCTAAATCACAGTGCTCTGTCTGGGTGTGGGGGTAGAGGCTCATATTTCATGACCTGGACAGCTAACTGAAGAGACATTTATTCATTAAAGGATAAGAATATTAGATGACTAAAAAATAGAGACCATTGGAACAAGTTCCTAAAAGGCTATTTTATACTTTGGCTCATACAATTGCCAGGTTGCAGAATGACACTTAAATGCTCTTGAGTCAAATAGGTTTTTTGCAAAACATAGATGCTGTCATTCATGCGAGGTCTCCATATGTGAATTCACAGTATGCAATACATCAGAGGGACATTTTCCATTTCCTGTTTAGAGGCAAAAGCTGAGGGGTGCCTGGGTGGCTCAGTTGGTTAAGCATCTGACTTTTGATTTCAGCTAAGGTCATGATTTCATGGTTCATGGGATCAAGCCCTGTGTTGGGCTCCACACTGAGAGCACAGAACCTGCTTCAGATTCTATCTCTGCCTCGTCTCTCTAACCCCACACACTCACATGGGGGCATGCGTGCACTCTCTTTCTCTCAAAATAAAAATGAATGAATGAATGAATGAATGAATAAATAAATAAATAAAGGCAAAAGTTTAATGTGGGGGTACTTACCACGTGCCAGGCTCTCTTTCAGAAGCTAGGAACACATTATTCAAGGAAAAGGATAAAAACCTCTGCCATCAATGAGTCAAGCAGACAATAAAAAAATACGTGTGTAAAATATGTAATGTATTGGATGAAGAAATATGCCTTACAGAAAAATGAAGCAAGACGGGGAGGTGCAGGGAGGGAAGTCAATGTTAAATAGTGTAGGGTCGTCAGATCTCACAGAAAAGGTGACATTTGGATTCAACTAGGTTTTAGAATCTAACCCAACATTCTCAATAGCCATAGTAAACAATGACAATAAAACTTGTCCTGCATGAAACAGGAAGGTAGGAAGATAGGAGAACACAGGAGATGGGTCACTTTACTACTGAGAACATAATTTCACATTTCAGGTAGCTTCCTCATTTTCAGAATCAGATTCTTCTTCAGCATTTTTTTAAAATCATGCTGCAAATTTCATTTGCTTATCCAAGTGTCCCTATAGTTTTATTAAGGATTTTTCTCACTATGAAAATTAGCAAGCACTTGCTTTAAAGCATGTGTCTTCCCAAAGGTGAAAGTGACTATGTGGGTATTTGCTGAAATCAACACAATTCTGGATGATCTTCTGGCAGCCAAATTGAGCTGAAGGGAAAATTAATCACAATGCAGGAACAAGCAAAGTTATAACTGCTCTGGAACTAACATATGAAACCAAGCCAACCTCACATCGTTTGTTTTGAAACCTTGGAGGATGTTCATGTACCTTACAGGGGTAACAGATGTGATTTTGGACTAGAAAGTGTGGTGTTAGGGTAAGAAGGGGGTGAGGAGATTCTGATTTCTTTCTGGGCTCCATGACATTTTGTCTCTAGGGAGCCAGTGACTTCATTTTTTCTGCTTTGTCTTTCTGCTGGCGGTAAGGTCAGCAGCACCTGTATGCCTTAATTGAAGGCCTGACCTCGTCCTTTCTGACAAATTATTTATTATAATAATACTAATAGCTGACCCACAGAGTATACTTCATCTAAGTGCAAAGCCTATTCTACACACTTTTTATGTGTTTATTCATGTGATCCTCCCATTAATATTCTGAAGTCAGTACTGTGATCACTGCCATTTTATAAGGAGGAAACTGAAGCACAAATACAAAGACTAACTTGCTCAAGGTCACATATGCTTTCTCTGTCTCTAAAGCTGTGTCTTCACTGGCGATACTCTCTACCCCTCCCATCAAAAAACTCAAACCCACCCACACACATATTTTTCCAATTTTTGTTTCTGTATCTTGTTCATCATCAGTTGCATGGTCCTTTTCACTTCATTATTTTTTTTATTTTCTTTAAACATTTTTTTAAACATTTATTCATTTTTGAGAGACAGAGAGAGACAGAGCCTGAGCAGGGGAGGCACAGAGAGGGGAAGACGAAGCAGTCTCCAGGCTCCGAGCTGTTGGCACCGAGCCTGATGTGGGGCTTGAACTGTGAGATTACGACCTGAGCAGCTCAACCGAATGAGCCATCCAGGTGCCCCTCATTTCACTATTTTTGACTTAGCAACATAAACATTATAAACATTCTGTGAATACAAAATAGAGCAGCAGGTCTCAAACTTTGTGGTCTTGGAACTTCTTTACTCTCAAAAATCATAGAAGACCCTAACGACTTTTTGTTTATCTGAGTTATGTCTATTCATATTTGCCATTTATTACCATATATATTGAGTTAAAACTGAGGAATTAAAAAAAAATGTCTGGCGACACTTTTGGCTGTCACAGCCAGGAAATGAGAAGAAAGGCTGGTAGAATGTCGTGGGTGGAGGCCAGAGATGCTGCCAAACATCCTGCAATGCACGGGACAGCCCCCTACAACCAAGAATCATCTGGCTCACCATGTCAATAGTGCCAAACCTAAGAAACCCAGAGTTAAGTGAAACCGGCT